TGTTAAATTTTAATAATTTTGCAACAGTAATGTGAAAAAATCAACTCTGCCTCCAAGTTGGTTGTTTAGAATTTATATCATATACATTTTGACCAGTGCATTTATAATTAACCATAGTAGCAATGCAAGCCACAATTGTGAGGTGACCCTGTATACCAGGTACTATTCAAATAGATGTAGATGTACACAATACACATGACAATCTTTTGTCATGATCACCTGTACCCTATACACCCAACATTTGTTATCAGACCAGGCAGGAGATTTCTGCGAGAACTTGAAGTGAACAGCAAATTTGATAATTTGATTATGAACTTGCAGGTGTTTTTCTAGAAAAAAAACTGCAAGAGGGAGCACTGCAATTCAGTGGCGCCATCAAGTGGGAGAGATAGTAGGGTTCTCCCTACCAGGGTATGGAATTTTTGATAATTCTAAGTTAAAATGAAGCATTCTAAGGCTTCCGTTTGGGGCCAAAATTACTATCAGACAGGTCACAGTTGAAGACTGTGGCCACATGTGATCCCTGGTCAATCAGAATTTGATGGTTGCCAGATCTGCTCGCCAGGGTAAGGGGGCATGGCCATGGCATGAAAGCACGACCCGCCTGTTCCCTTGTTTAAAAAAATCAGTGAACTTGAATTTCTTTTTTTATACATGTAGCTCAATATGGTAATGCTGATTTTTTTAAGGGGAATATAGTGTATCCTTATTTCATCAAAATTAAACATCATCAAATGTGTTTAGCACATTATTAAAAGTGAAAACACCCCAAAATACTTTTCAGTATGTCAAATCCCACGCAATGTTTTAATGCCACTTTGACCTTTCTTTGTCCTGTTTGACCTCAATTTCACACGCACTGGTAACGTAACATCTTGCAGTGAAATAAAAATTGTCTATTAAACAATGTATGACTGGACATGATATTTGATCAGTCCCCCCCCCCCCCACGATTTATTCTAAATACAATAACTGGCCAGGCTTACATGTATAAAGAAGACCACATGACCTCAAACGGAATCATTACTTATATTTTCAGTACACCTGTCATCAACGCTTAAAATCAGTTCCATCATACATGTTATTGATGAAGCTATTATTCAGTTTCCCAACAGTCCATTTCTATTTCTGCCATAAAACCCATTCATACAAATTTAAACAAGTTCATTCAGCAATAACGAACTATATGGTTGAAAGAAATGAACTACATATGAACCTTTGAGCGCAGAAAAATCACAATCATTTTCAGTCACAGCTTTCAAACTCGATAGACATTTCTCACATATATTTGAGA